CTTCACAGAAAGGAAGAGACTGGTAAAAATCCCCAGTCGGCATCTTCAGCACGACTCTGCGGCACATCAGTGTTGCCCTACAGAACTGAAGCCAGCGGAGCAACACCGGGAGTTTCTATGTTTGTTTTTTTTTCCCCCCTCTCTGCGTGGTGCCTTGCTTTGCTCTGTCACTCCCTCGTGCAGGGCTCGCGGCTGGGAGCCCGGAGCGGGGAAAGTGCTGAGCGGGGGCCCTGGCTGCCCTTGCACACAGGAGCCGGCGGCCATTTGGCGCTGGCAGGTAGGTGAGGCCTCGCTCCTTCCACCCCAGGGCCGGGAAATAAATACCGTGCACCAAGTCCACGGCACTGATTTCTTGCGGGAGGTCACTGGGATGATTTCACAGAAATATCCTGCCACGCTTTTGCAAAACAGGATGAGCCTCGGCCTGAATTTCATGACTGTTTTTTTCCGCTTCCATCCCGGCGGCTGCGGTGTTTTTGCTGCAGCACCGGTAGCCGGTTAATTCATCCCGGCTCCCTCAGACTGGGAAAAGGAAAACTTCGGCCACTCTTCATAGTCCCCAAGATGTACTCGTTATGAATGACTTGTATTTTGGTAGGACCTACAAGTGCTAACCCATGTCAACCGCAGACTGACAGTGTAGGCCCGCTTCCAGCTATGCGCTGCTGATGGCGGCGTAACGTGCAGACAGCCCGACAGATAGCAAAACGGAGAGCTCCAAACAAAGCCGGGAGCCCAGTCCATGCTGAAAAGCTTGCCCAAGAATATGAATAAATTATCTCATCCTGAGCTCCCGACAAATATATCTTATGTACAAACAACGCTTGCTTGCAGAATTAAAAAAAAAAGAAAAAAAACCCAAGACTAGAAAGAAAGAAGTCGTATCATCTTTATTCTACAGATGGCAAGCTGAGGTAGAGAAAGATTAAATGCCTTGCCCGAGATGCTGCAGGAAGCCAGGACTGGAGTTACCTGCATATCAGCCAGTGCCTCGGCCACAAGCGCTTCCTTTCTCTAAACACAGCTCAGATTCATGCTATACACTGGCATAACAGCTCTGACCCAGTAAATGCCATTCTCAATTTACACCCGTTAAAGGACAGAATCGGTTAGCTAGAGCTGCAGATGCTTCTGGTCAATGAAAATTAAAAGCGCTACTTTTGAGCTCATCCATTTTTTGCTGATGACAAGCATTTTTGGGAGGGACTTACTCGGCGCTGCGCTTTGCACTGAAAAGAAGTAATATCAACAGTCCTGAGTCCTGGCTTGGGAGGCGGATCTGAGAGGTGCATCTGGATTTGGCTGAGAGCGAAAAGAGTATTTTCTTTCCACTGGTTGCTGGCTAGTAAAAGCAAAGGGGTGGAATACATCCAGCTCGCAAAACTTGAAAACAGTTAGTGCTATCTGCAAATGAGTGCCCCTCCCCGCTCATGTGAGCTGCACAGGCAAAAGAGAATGACACATGTGCTGTTTCCTTTTCCAGTTGTAAAGGGGTCAGGAGCCCGGCAAGGAGAGTCTGAACAAGAGCAGCATTTTCCCGGGCTCTTCCAGCTGTCCTGCTCAGTCCCGCCGTCAGTTCTGAGCAGGGAAGAGAGACTGTCAGCACAAATAAGGCACTTTTCAAAGGCGTAAATTATGAGTTACCAAAACTATACGACATCTCCACCACGTGAGTACCCTTATTCCCCCCCCCTTTACAGTAAGAATGGATTTACAAGTTTGTTGCTTAAGCAAAAGGTTGTCAAATGCGTTTCATGTGCAGTAGAGAAAAAAAAAAGAGAGAAAGAAAAAAAGTACTGAAACCTATCCTAAAGAAAAAAAGTTGTTTTGAAACCGTTACCCTCTCTTATTCTTGTGTGTGCGCGCGCGCGTGTTTGCAAAGCTGAAACAGACTGTGCAAACTCCGACTCCTGACTGCAACAGAGCAAAATTGGTAACGTTTCTGTCTAAATCCTGGCTTAGAAAAA